TATGTTTTACCACCTTTTTCTTTTTTAACGAAAATCTTTCCATCCCTAGTTTGAAAGCTGGCCCATTTATATTGCTTTGCTCGCTTCCTCACTTCTGCATACAGCTTCTTTCTTTCAGATGTTAGATGCTCATTTAGGAAAATCTTTTCCGCACCATTTAGCTTTTCGTCATCTCCTAGATAGAAAAGATAGTTTTATATTTTCACTAGAGTAAAATTCTATCGATCTTTTTGTTCTCAAAATTGAACTGCTTTGGGAACATGCTTCAAGCTAGAGTTTTTTATTTAGTTTTACAAAATTAATAGTTGTAGTCATCGTCATCGTCATGTATCCAGTACCATGCCATGTAAAAGCCCTAGGAGAGACAGAAATAGAGAAAGAATAATAATGGGCTTGCAGAATTTGTAAAAGGTGTAAAGCTTTTGTTGCAAAATGAATCGATGATTTTATTCGTGAGTAATAGAACTCCTTTAGGATGGCGAAACTCTATTTTAAACACACCTTAATTCAAGCATCATTAGGTTTTTCCTCAATTTTCGAGCTCTCTTTCAGCTCTGCTTCGTCCTCTTCTGGTCCAAAGCATTTCTGACGGGCATACCAACGCTGGATCTCAAGAACAGTCTTGCTGTCTCTACGCATCCCGGACAGGACGCCAGCACCAGCTCTCTGAATGGCTGCTTCATGTTTTTTCTCAACCAAAGCCAATCGTACGATGTCGGTTATCATGTCTGTTGAACAAAAGAGATTGAAACTCAAGACATGGGTAAGTCATCGTCGTCAATATACAAAAGCTCGTTGCTGTTGTTAGAGTGGTAGCTAATGTTGTTTTGAGAGCGCTTCGCGGTCCCTGTCTTAGTTCTTACCGGTATAGTACARTACGTTCGCTCTGCCAACCTTTATCGCTTGCTTGAACGCTTTGGTAAACTGTGAGAAATACAATAGAATAGACAATGACCAAAAAAATATAATAATTAATCGAAAACACTACTGTTATTAACCTCTAATTACAGGCCTGCGCTGCCTGCCTGCCTGCCTGCCACATGCGCGACACTTGGCATATGTTTCATTATACTTACCACTTTAACGGTTTGAACTCCAAGTTTTACGAACGGTTCTACAAAAGTAAAATTAACCACAGTATTTATTAGTAAATAGCTTATTTCTTATATCTCGATGACTGAGATTCATTGATGATAGTTTTTCGGATTCCCATTCAGACTTCATGTTTTCATTCCATCTTCGTGATTTAAATTTATCATTCATCTCTTTGTGGAATAATTTCGATTTGTTTCTGTTTTCCACGATTGAAGCAACAAGAGCGCTGTAAAACTAAATGGTTTTCTCGATGGCTCATAGCATATCGCAGTTCTTGTGGCGAGAACTTTCGCTTTACACGCCTAGTAGATATCATACAGGTACCATCCTTACCATCAAGCAAACCATCGCTTATACGGAGGTCGTTAAAGTTTTCCAAGATGAAATTAATGGCTTTTTGAGCTTTATTGACTTGATCTTCGAGTTCTCTTTTGATTCTGTGCAAATGCATCGCATCTTCACTTCTGTTTTTGCCAACTCCTCTGAAGAGACCTGAACATTAGAGGAATAGAGGAATTCATTTATGGTGGGTCGGGAGGGAGGGGGTGTTAGTTAATCTCTAATAAATATCGTTATCGTTAACACCGCAACTATAGCAGTAGCGCAGCTTAACGGGGTCGAACTGAAAGCATGTTAAAGGACTTCTGCTGTAGCACACCCAATCATTATCAGTTCTGCACCGTCATCAAAAGATAATCATACTATTAACAGAAACATTTTCGAGTATTGCCCATTAATGACTATTAATACTCTCTCTMTATATATATATCTGGGATTACTTAGACATTGGGGTCCCTGTGGAAGGAGGATTATATAGGGAATATATAGACAATATATAGGGCTCACTCACTCACCCATGCGATCAGCATGTATCAGCAAGAGGACAAATCTACGGTTAAGTGCAACGAAGTACTCCCCAGCGATGTGCTTGGATTTGAACATGTTCTGTTCTTTGACAGCTTTATAAAGTCTCTTCATCATTTCTGGCGGAAATTATAATATTATAATATATTGAGGGAAATGTTCAGTAAACTGTAGACTGGAAGGAGAAAGTAAAGGACAAGGACAAGGACAAGGACAAGGACAAGGACAAGGACAAGGACAAGGACAGCTCCCAGCTAAAGGTCTTTCAAGCATATCCACAACACGTATCT